ATTTGGCTACTATACAAAAACGTGTTTCATAAATCTGTCCGCTTAATATCATAATTATGAAACAAAATAATATATAAAAACATTAATTATAATAAAGGCATAATAATTGTATGCGGTAAAGCTTAATCAGTGTAACATGACGAAAAAATGTAAATCTAAAATTAATAATTAATTTGTCAATATTGCTCACTATATTTAAGATATTTAAAAATAAGCAGTGAATGCAATGATGCAATGTACCTGTATAAGTATCATTATTTGTACAGTATTTCTTCATTTCCACTTCGAATTCAATGGTTGTAATATTTCTACAAGTCTCATTAATCAAATCACAGTATTGATATAACAACAAACATAACAGTTATATGACACACATGCTGCTGTAGTCATGTTGTTCGTTTGCTTGGTATATCCGTGCGGTTATGAGAAATATCATGTCATTAAATTGATATTTGTTGATAAAGTGCATGTTTGATAAATTTAAATATTACAGTCTCTCACGTTTGACTGAAAACATTCGAAACTATTTCTGACTTATTGATATGGCCTTCGCAGCATTTAATCGAGAGGTTCTTGACAGTTGTTTTTGTTTCATTTGAAATTTTAAGACAGATTGAATGTATTGAATGCCAAACAAGTGTCTGGTACTATAAAATATATCAGGCTCGGTGCGGAATAATGAAGGGCTCGGCAAAGCCTAGCCCGTCATTTTTGCATAGCCTCACCTGATACATTTTGTAATATCAGACACTAGCATGGTATAATATATCATGGATAACAAGTCTGTATCATAAATATAACGTAAATATGCATGTATTTTTTACAAACAATTACCATATTGATATATGAGAGGCGGCATCAAATCATATAGGCAGTAAATCGTAGGCAGTATTCTAATACGATACTCATTAAAAATGTTTCAGAAAAAACATCTTCGTATGTAAGGAAAATACACATAATATTTGCGGCGTTACAAAATGACCGTTACGATTATTATCATTTGCTGCTGATTACTTGATAACACTTTCATATAAAGAAGATAAAGAAAATAAGACAAGACTATGATAAAATTGTCCCTTTCTTCCCTTGCTGTATGTAAAATAGTTACATTGATACATATATACATTGATCACTCTAGACTAAAGTGGTACATTACATATACTTAATGTTATACTTATAATTATTGGAATATAATTTGATTATAACAATGCAAATTACAAATGTTTCTAATCAAAATTACATTCAAAAATACAATGTATGTGCCGACGAACTTTTCAACGAACATATCTTGAAAATTAAAGTGACATTATGCCCATTCAAGGCTATATAGTGAATGAATAGGTGAAAGTCGAAATAACTTTACATTTTGCCATATTTCATTTTAGATTTTCAATTTATTTTCGCATGAACAATTAATAATTCATGTAATTCATATATACATCAGAATTTACCTGAAACGCTCAATTTAATAAAAAGAGTGGGCAGTGTTTTTTTATATTTTAGACAGATAAATATTTTATCAAAAACTTTTACTAATATTTACTGTTGGTCAAACACCATTACACTAGTCAATCTTTTGAAATATATAGTCAGTTGAGCTTAACTTGACATTGAAAAAATGAGCATAATGTCACTTTAATTATGATTTAAAACTATAATATCATAAACACACCATTTAAAGTCTATTTTTATATCAATATTAAATAAACAGTAATCGTATTCAATTAGTTATTGATATCGAGTAAACATTTATTCAAAGTAATGCATTTAATGACGTTTTGATTCTAAATAAAGTTTATCATGTGTAGCAAAATCCTGGTAAAATACGCTGGTATCAATACTGATAATAAAAGCCATGCACTCTCGTCTGCGTACATGCGCATCCAAATATCAACTGTTTTTGAAACATGTAACGTTAGTAGAGGCTATACAAAACCTTATCTTAATCAAGTATCTTTAACGTTTAGTTCTTCATAAGTCTGGTTTCTACACTGCACTTACTTTCTTAAAGGGAACCTTGGCCAATCTCACGTGCTTGATGTGAAAAGAATTATAGTAATTATTTGAGGTAATTGCACTCAGTATCTCGTTAAACTTTGCTCTTTGTATTTAGCATTTGAATGATGAAGCCGGTGCCAAGGCTGAAAATTAATCTGATAAAAAAAAATCCTCGGAAAATTCAACACTATTAAATGCTGAAAGTAATAACTTGTTAACATGTTGAAATTATGTATGTGAATAAATGGTATTTTCAAGATTATATTTTACTTAAAACATACTGATATAAATGTTCTTGTGTTTTTGTTGCACTAGTTGTTGCTTTGCATCAAAAGCATTTTGTTTGTATTTGTTTATACAGATCAGTCAGATATGTCTTATATTTGATTCATATAATGTAAAGTTTGCTTTTCACAGTTCATATGTAAGTAAACATCTAGCTTATGCACTGTGCGAATATAAATTTGTATCAGGTTGTTCATTTCTTAATCATTTAATCAATGTATTTGTAATGTTATAACTTGAATTAGATAACAATCGTCAATACACGTAATCAATAACGTCATCATAGGTAAGAGGTGTATAGCGATACAAACAACATCACGTGTATTGAACATCGCAACGCAATACCAAATGATATTATATTTCATAGTCTAATAATGCAGAAATGTATCAAACAGTACAAATTTACATCTTAACAAATGGTTTCATTGAAAAGTCAAAAAGACACGTTATAAAATTTTTAAGAATATTGTAAGATTTGTTATGATATTATTTAGATTTTCCAACAGTTTTAGTTTAAAAATAAGAAATCATGTCGATATGATGGGTAAAAGAATTTGTTATGATACATAATTTAGATTTTCCTGCAGTTTTATTTGAAATAGGAAATAAAGATATTTATAAGAATTATTTTTTAAAAAAATTATCTTGAGAACGCAGCTTGACAGAGAAATTCATTTTTAAAATGAGACAGTCAGTCTCAAATCAATGAAAGAGAAAGCTAAAGTTGAGATTGTTAAGACAAAAAAATGTTTGCAGACTTTATTTTCATTTCACGTATGCATACAATAATATCGTATGTTAAAATGCTAGTGTAGAAATGAGTTTTGGTATTAAGACTATAAAATTACAAACACCTGTTTTGCGTCATATTGTGACATTAATTACAAATCCTGACGTCTGAAAACCTAACAGAAAAAAACACTATGACTTCTATGATTGGATTGCATATTCTTTTGAGATATGGTTAATTGAATATAATAAAAATCTATCCTAAATGTATTTATCGAGGTAGGATGCCTCTAAAGCTGAAAGGCACATATTTAACTATATTATAATGATTATTAAACAAGATGATTTAGCAGAATATAACATTAGTATGAAGTATATTATGCAAAAAAGATAACAACTCTAATCACAGTATCTCGCTTTTATCAGAACCAATTAGACATTTCACATAACAAAGATTTTACGTATCTGTTCTTTTAACATATGTAGCATATACTATCTAGCTAGAAACGAAATAATAATAACTCACACTTGATGTTCAGATAAAAAAGTCAGGTATAAAAAGTGTTATCATTCGATAGATAATTAGAGTAATGAGACAGCGTTTTTTATGAAGATTCTATACTTAAAATGTAACAGATATTATATATTCAAGTCACATGTAAACTGGAATTAAAATGCTCATCGAAGTGTAAAAGAGTTTCTTAGAATTTGTTGCAATACCTCCACCAGAAGGTAGAGCAGTGTAACATTTTGTCTAAATTTTGATTAAACCTAAAAATTATTATTTACAACACAGTTCAACAAATTTAAACTTAACCACACTTATCATAGAAGATTTGAGCACAGTCATTTGTCACATTAAAATACAAATATGAGAGGATTAGGAATCAAGAATTATACAAGCTTCTGCTTGTTTTAAGGAAATTGTACTTGTCCGGTTTTCTTTCAATTTGTTTTGTTTTGTTTTTGTTGTTTTGCTTTTTTAAACAGATAAAAGAATAATAAAACATTTGAAAACGTTTTGTTCGTCTCCATTCAATTCTGATTTATAGCTCCAAACATGTTACACTGATGTATGGTATGCATAGTGTCTTACATTTCAGGTTTTCCTTATCATGAACAATCTATACAAAACAATCATCCGGAGATAATCTAGAAGCGCATACCTATATCAAACTGAATTAATGAATTCTAAATGAAACGAGCTCTCTTAAAGCCATAACAATGTCATTAGATGTGCCTATTTACCAATTCTTTTCACATAATAAGAAAGACATGTATATAATTTATCGGTTTTATGTCATTTGAAAACATTGAAAAAGAAAAAAAAGTGAAGCATTACGTAATGTCAAGAGAGTTATTCCAATATTGATAAACTCCAATTTAATGACATTCATTCAATGTATTAGTATATTTTAGATAATGAATCATTTAAAAGATGACACTTGGTATTCCATCTATGCAAACATGATTAATTTGCAATCAATATATAAATGTACTAGACAGATGTAGCTTTAAAGAAAAATATTAGTGTAAAAATCTCAAAAGAAAATTTAGATATTGTTAAAATCAAATCAATTCTGTGCTATATTTTCTTCAATTATCTTTTAGAAAAAATATTAATATTCGTTTACCAGCTACATTTAATAAGAACATTATCAAGCCGTTATTATCTTTATTAACTTTAAAATTGGTAGGAAAAAAAATTGAGTGTTTATTTCTACAAGCGCGCGGAATAGGATATTGTTCATCGAATGTCGAATCTCTATTTCTTGCGCGATTTAAAAATCTTACTGTTTCTGTGCCTAGACAGAGGATTAAAAGTTACAATAAAAATAATCATAAGTGTCACATTTCATAAAGTCCCATATAAATTGAGAGATTTAATGCAAGTTTCACGGGGACCTTGAATTATGATCATGTTATATCTGCTTAGATTCTCTAGTATTATAATTTGTTATAAGTGTGTTATTGAAAAGGATATTTACCTAAAAGATCAGCGACGGCTAGATTTACAAGAAAGTTGTTGGTCACTGTCCACATCCTTTGGTTAGGAACAATCACCAACAAAACGAGAACATTTCCTATCAAAGAGGTTAAGAATATAGGCACATATAACACCATAAGGACAATTGTCGTTGGTTCATTTAACGTAAACTGCGTTTGTTTAAAATCTTCTATGACATGTTTCCATAGAGAGTCTTGCCAATCACCATTAAAAGTTTCATTGAAGTAATATGTTGTGTTTTCTGAATAGTAATAATAATCCTCTTTTAATCCCACATTTGAGACTTCCATATCTGCAGTATTATCAATTAGCATTTCAATATTAATAGTTTATATCTTTTTTGTGGTTATGGCATTGTGAAATGTTTTTACCCTTTCGTTACACAAATCTTCAAAACAATTTCAATTACAACTATAAGCGAATAAGTTTAACAAAGTACTGTTAAACATATCGCTAGTTTTCACCATTATGATTTTCTTTTCGTTTTAATGCAGTTACAGAACTCATTGTATCCATCAAAACCAGTAACCATTCATCATTATCGTAGAATGAATCTAATCCACAATCTCAAGCCTTGTATATATCACTACCTTTAATACAATCATTTGTTAATGCAATAGGTATATGCTAGCAGCACTACAACTATTATAGGATAAATCTCTATCACCCACAACTACTCTTTCATAACAGATTTAGACGGTATTGGAAATCTCTGTATCTTCAATATAACTGAACAAGTTAGCTTATCGGACAGATAGGGTATCACAAACGATGCAGGAATAATGCTATTACAGAAATAAAGGTGACACAGTAGATATAAATAAATGTCGAGAGTGTTCATCTTTCCTTAAATACTTCAACCATTATTTTATCAACCTATCAAAATTATAATCGTCTAACATTTTAATTCGATATCAGAAAATAAATACTTTCAAAGTAAATGTTTGAGAAAAATGAGAGATTGATTATACCTTAGCAGACACGTTTTGATCTTAATTTACAGTTACTTTTATATAACTATACACTTCAATTTTAACAGTAAACATTTAAAATATCCAAGAGGTTTTTTTTGGCATAAATTCACTATAAATAATTAGTTGTTACTTAGCTGAATATTGACAAAGGCACAATACTACTTCTCCAACGAATTTGTTTATATGTGCTAAAGAAACTCCATGAACAAAATGGCATAAAAACATATATTTTGAAATTCTTGCAAAAAAATGAAATTCTTGTGCGATTGGTTGCATAGGTTTGAAAAATACAAACGATGATTCTGCAAAAAAGAACAAAACACGAGGCGATGGGGCGATGGAATAATTTGAAAATATGCACACTCTTTATTTAGTTCTACTTAAAATCGCATACATCTGTCGAAAAAAGTTTTTCCTATCCCATCATGTTAAAACTCTAACAAATAATAATAAATATTATTATTAGATTTAATGATAATTCATTTAAATTAAATTAAGATACTCTAAATTGCTCCTTTGAATAAAAACATATACATCCCTACAGATACTTTGGATTCTTCCATGTGAGGAAGCTATCCAGCTAATTTACGGAACGTCGCTGGTTCTACTGTTTGTGTCTAAAATAATGCACGGAGGGTACCCCGAGGTCTTCCACCACCCTAAAAGGTTTTCACATGACGTTTACTGTTTTAGTGCGACGTAAAAACAATGAAAGGGGTAGAATAACATACATATACATAAAAGTCAACAACAGCAACGGGCTTTTTCTTGCTATTATTTAAGTTCAAATTTTCAGATAATAGCATTCATAGCTTTAAAACGACTAACAAGACGAAATAAATGTATTATGTGTCATTGCAACATAACAAATATGTCTGAAGAATATGTATCATGCCCAGTAATTCCTGCAATTTGGTAAATTTTATTCCCTAATACTACGTATTTGATTTCAGAAGTAATTATGTCTGAATATATTCTGAATAATCATGTGCAACTATTCAAGGAAACAATGATAGAACAGTTAGTATCCTCCGTAGACAGTTATGACGTATTTGACTGAATAGCAACAATTCATAATGTGGAACAGTCTGTCTCTAAGTAGAAGCATACTTGATTATTTTTATACCAAAATAAATGAATGAATAGAGGAAACGAATTTAAATACAATACAAATATGTGTGTATAAAACAAGGGAAAATATATCATTTCATGTCGTAAATTTTTACAGTTTTCTTTTCATAAGAATTTTAAATACACTTTGAATGCTAAGGAATAGGAGCAAAAGAAAGAAAGAAACCATAGTTCATATAAAACTTTAATGTTAGTCCAGATTGTATAACATTGCAACAATATGATAACTTATTAGACATTTAAGTGTTTATTTGCAAGATAACATTTTCCCTTACATTCTGAACATGACAATTATGTGTTATATAAGTTGTTGATGAGATTAACGGGAGAAAAAAATATTGTAGAGATCAATATAAGCCTAAGAGTTTGTCATATTTCAGTGGGGTACATGTAAGATTGTCGTAACGACAATCTGTATTACAAATAAATGTATATGATATTGCAAATATTGGAAGTACATCTTCTTTACATTCACAATTGGGAATTGAGAGAAACTTCGAACTTTCAATACTGTGTGCACATCATTATCAAATAATATAGATAGATTAAACTGTGTTTATGGTCTTAATTTAAAATAGCATAAAAACATTATGAAAGATTAATGCCAAAAATACTGAGAACAAACGTGTTTGGCAGACAGTCAGTTGAACTATTGTAGCCTATAAACTATGTTAAACATTGATATATCTACCTGTTCTTAATAGTATGTTTATATTTCAGTGGGGTACATGTGAGCATATCGTAACGACAATCTGTAATAATAACAAATACATGTTTATGATATTGCAAATATTGAAAGTACATTCTTCTCTACATTCACAATTGGGTATTGGGAGCAACTTCGAACGTTCAATACTGTGTACACATCATTATCAAATAATATAGATAGATTAAACTGTGTTTAAGGTCTTAATCTAAAATAACATAAAAACATTATGAAAGATTTATGCCAAAAATTACTGAGTATAAACGTGTTTGGCAGACAGTCAGTTGAACTATTGTAGCCTCATTCTTCTAAAATATAAACTATGTTAAACATTGATATATCTACCTGTTCTTAATAGTATCCAGGTCTGAATTTAGATCTTAACATACTGTTACAGGTCTCAATTATTCTTAACCATAGTCTGCAAGTGGGGTTAACCAAAGAAATAGGTTTTACAATAATTACATCTTCACCTGTAGCAAATGTTGATATATGTATTCTATTTTCGAAATGTAACGATTATATATTTGTATGTTATTTCTGTGTATCCTGTGTACTTGTTTAGGTAATTAGACATATCCGACAATGGGATTAGGTCACAATAATCTTTTTTCGTTACCGTTTAGACATTACATATAAACATGCAGCAAATAGTTTTTAACTGATTCGATTTAAATTATGTAAACTATGAGACAGAAATAATCATTGGTACACGAAGCTATGCCTGGAAGTAATCGCTCTTAGTTGTTCAATAATTGTAAATTAAATTTGTAGGATTATTTTCAGAAGATAATTCTGTAAACATTTAAATTATTCAAATGGAAGCCAACTCGTCTATAATATTTAGATGTTTAAATGATGTACACAAACACTTTGCTTTTTAAATACATTTAATTAATTGTTGACTCGTTTCGACATGCAATACCTATTTTATTTAATAAGTTTTAAATCAATCTATTATAGCAGAAGTAAATTAAACTTGCTATTGCCAGTTGATTGCTATGCTTAATGTCATATCACATTATATGCAGCATATAACCATGACAAAATATAAATCTATTGTTGTTGAATTGTTATATGTTTACTTGGTGGAGTAAGTTGTGATATATTGTTGGCATAATAAATGTAAATATCAAAATAACACCTCAAGATGTGACAACCAGAATACTCTCAAATCAGTCAGTAACATCATGTTATACATATAAGCACATTACTGTTCGAATATATAAATGAAGTGATCAATCGCTTTATTTGCACGTCATATTGCTAATAGAGTTAAATGTGATGCAGTTTCTTTTCGGCATTAAATTACATACTTTAACGATTCCAAATGCTGTTAACATGAAACACTATGAAGCGCATGTTTCTATCTATATAACTTTAAGCCATATAAGTTGTAAACTAAATACAATAAGTAAGCCTGGAAAACAATTTGCATCTTCCCCAATCATTTAATTTTTTTAATTCATAGGCATGGTATTTACAGTTGTATTTGACAAAACTTAATATGATACAGATACAATTATCATATCCCTGTCATAAAAGTATTGATATATATAAACACAGCAGTCCTAATAAAACACAGTATACGCACAGAAACTTTTATGCTTTTATGTTTCGAAGGTATGGCTAAAGTAAACCCACGTGAATATTTGAAGACCAGTTAATTTAGTGTACACATTTTGTCGTTATCGTTACCCTGTAAGTGATACATTTTACAGGTATCTTTAACTAGTTTTATTTACACCGACGATATATTTTGACATTTTAAACGCTTCTTAAATTCTTAAGATTTATTACATAGTTCTTAGTCATGAATATCATTTTCTCTTTGTAATATTTAAGCAATTTATTTTTTTAATGGGTTATTCTTTAATTTAATATGAAAACAATCGAAAAAACGAAACATGGCATTTTACGTCTCTTAAATTGCATGATAAAATTCTTAGTCCATCTGTTTAAAAAATTTACATTCTTTTTATACTATCTGAACAACTGACACATCTGCGGATGTTTCCAAATTCAAATTTCATGTAAAATGTTTAATTCTACTTAAGACGGTGCTAGGGGCATGGAAGGTACCCTGCAATTACCAGTATGTCTATGAAAAAACGAGCCTAAAACATTTACAATAATTCCGTTCATAAATTTTTCAGAATTAGGGATTATATTTCTCTCTATTATGCTTATTTTATATTGGTATTTCATACCATTTTGAAAAAGACATATATGTTTAATTTTTTTATAAACAGTTCAAAGTTTTTTGTCTGCATGTACAAAATACTTTTCTTACACCATTGATAGCGGATAAGTACTGAATATTAATGCCTATAGTAAATAATATAATTATCCTGAATATTTTATATCAACAACGAACTATACATATATATCAATATTATTTGAACTTCATGCACTTTATACTTCATTTCGGTAGATTGAGCAAGGATCATAGAAATACTTGAAGTAATGCGGGCTATGCAATAAATCTGTTGGTATAAATCCTTCGTTCAGTTTGTTTTATAATTGCTTTTATTGTTCAAATAGTCATTCAATCTGCAAGCAAAACTTTAAGGATTGGCGCTATTGTGCGTTCTACAAAATGATAATATTTTATTGTCAGCTAAAAAAATGTTAAAGCACAGTGAAACAATAACACTTGGTTCGATATAGTATAGTCTCGCGTGATAAAACAGAAGCACGGATATTAGGAGGTTAAAAGATATGGGTTTGTTTTTTACAGTTATGGTGTTTAATTAATTGTAATTTGTTTAATCATTTAAAAGAAAGCTAATACCAACAGTACCTAATCTAGTTTGTAGTCTTCATAGTTTGATAATGAATTTCTTCTAATACTGTGACCTTACTCAAAAGAAAAAAG